TCGCACGAAAGGAGTGCTGTCAGCTTTGTGGTGAAGAAGGGTTTTGTAACCTGTTGTGCCCGTGTGGTCGTAGTTTGGGATCAACAGCTTGCTTCTCCGTCCGCCTGCAGCACGTGCCTTGATAACTTCAATTTCGATATTTCTTGCTTCTTTATTTCAAGTGCTACGAGAAAAGGGATCGCCAGTAGGCTGCTTAAAGACATCCTGAGTGTGCAAAACGGTAAAGTAGTAGCTTCATTGGAGGCCTTTCGCGTGAATCCACCAAATCGCCGTGATTATCAAAAGTCTGCAAATAACGCCTTTGATAGCGCTTGACACACTGCGGCTGTACCGCTGCTTCCTTCCAAGTAATGTCAGCTGAAGATGCCGTGAAATTTGACGCAGATTCGGAGGAGGAGCTGGAAGTTGATGAAAATGCGCCGGACTGGACCCAATTCCAAAAGCTATCTGCGTTTGTCCTCTCCCTGCTGGCAGAACTTGAACTGACATCTCATTTAGCCTCCCATCTGCCCCATTCATTCCTATCCGAGGAGACAAAGATTTCACTCCAGTTCAAGGTGATTCAGCCCAATCTACTGCATTGGCTATGTCAAGAAACGCCTTGTTCACATCTCTCTCGGTCGCCTCTATACGTTCACACAATGCGAGTTCTATCAAGCGGCTAACCTGGCACGCATCAACAGGACGCGGGAGTATGGTAGAGGATGGATGGTTACCAAACTTGGGGAGATATGAACGAGAGAGGAGGAGGAGAGAGTTTTTACCTGAAGAGGTTCTTCCCGGAGGAAGCGCTACTCCTTTTGATGAAGGACAAACCTTGACCCACGAAGGTTCGTAGTCTCCGTCTGGCGTCAACATACTAACAAGAAAATTCAGCTGGTCACTGGTTTGGATTGTACCACGTCTTCGACGACTATGGATCGTCTTGCGACGACTACGACCAAGTCAGCGACACCCCTCCTCAGAAGACGGCCACTTCGGGATGCCCAACCGGAAAGGACTCATGCTCTGGTGGCGGAGTCGACTCTATCCACAACTGTGCGCAACCATTCCCCCATCCATAATATACAAGCTCATGACTCCCTACTAGATATGGACTACTCCGACGATTCTTGCATGACTGAATTCACTGAGGGACAGGCCACGAGGATGGCTGCCCAGGTTGGAATGTACAGGGGACTTGAGTAAAGGACATTTGGACGGAATGGAAACTGCTCTGTATTTCGGATAAACGTACCATCATTGGAAACTATCCTTTTGTAATCTATCATCTGAACTCATTGGTATGCATACTACCTCGTTAAACGAACGTTAGGCGAAAATAAGGTATTTAAATCCATCCACGTCGAAGGCGGCAGCGAAACAGCGTTTCAATGTGCGGCCGCTACCATGAACGGTGTGAGGAACGAACATGCTTCAAAAAGAAGTAAGTTAACTTAGTTCTACTGGTATCGTACGCCCAGGTTTATGACCCTCGCTGAGTAACTATCATCATGTCGGCTAAGATAGGGAGGAGCAGGTGCAAATTTCCTGAATCTCGCATCGATTAACATATTGCCTCTCAGCGCGTTTAATCGTAGGAATCGCACTGAATACTAGTCAAGCCTTCCAGACTCAAACATCTGTCATCCAGATGATTGGTATGCTGCGAGAATCGCTCAGGACAAGCTTAGCCTAGTTCTCTTTATTGGTGGTTTTCGCCATTGGATAACCAATAACTAACCATGGATTACTCGCATCTGTGCTGTGATGCTTGCTATGGCCGGGAGGGTACCCAATACTGCTTTTTAGGGGGGAAAAGCCAATTCTCCTACCATAAAAAATCCTCCAATTCCTTCAAAGGTAGACGTCATGTCTGCTACCATCTGAGGGGAAACATTGAACGGGCGCCAAGTTAGACAGAAAGTACAGCTGTTTACCACTTTTGGTGAAGAGAGGAAGCTAAACACTCACGAAGGCTTACTCCCACATCTCGTTCTATCTCAATCCTCGCCTTTCCCTCATTGTGCCTGATTCAACCCTCGCACGAAAGGAGTGCTGTCAGCTTTGTGGTGAAGAAGGGTTTTGTAACCTGTTGTGCCCGTGTGGTCGTAGTTTGGGATCAACAGCTTGCTTCTCCGTCCGCCTGCAGCACGTGCCTTGATAACTTCAATTTCGATATTTCTTGCTTCTTTATTTCAAGTGCTACGAGAAAAGGGATCGCCAGTAGGCTGCTTAAAGACATCCTGAGTGTGCAAAACGGTAAAGTAGTAGCTTCATTGGAGGCCTTTCGCGTGAATCCACCAAATCGCCGTGATTATCAAAAGTCTGCAAATAACGCCTTTGATAGCGCTTGACACACTGCGGCTGTACCGCTGCTTCCTTCCAAGTAATGTCAGCTGAAGATGCCGTGAAATTTGACGCAGATTCGGAGGAGGAGCTGGAAGTTGATGAAAATGCGCCGGACTGGACCCAATTCCAAAAGCTATCTGCGTTTGTCTTCTGCCTGCTGGCAGAACTTGAACTGACATCTCATTTAGCCTCCCATCTGCCCCATTCATTCCTATCCGAGGAGACAAAGATTTCACTCCAGTTCAAGGTGATTCAGCCCAATCTACTGCATTGGCTATGTCAAGAAACGCCTTGTTCACATCTCTCTCGGTCGCCTCTATACGTTCACACAATGCGAGTTCTATCAAGCGGCTAACCTGGCACGCATCGACAGGACGCGGGAGTATGGTAGAGGATGGATGGTTACCAAACTTGGGGAGATATGAACGAGGGAGGAGGAGGAGAGAGTTTTTACCTGAAGAGGTGATTTGGTTGATGGATTTGGGAAGCGTCGAGGTTTGGAAGGAGGGGAAGGAAGGACTAGCAAGGATGAGCTTCCAGCAAGTGCTGGTGGAGTGTATCGGTGTGGAAGGGCTGACTTTGGAAAGGTACCATGTCTGTCCACTTTCTGCCTTCTACGCTCGAGTTCATGAAATGTCAGGTTTATGCACACCTGAAACGTTTAGGATATATAGTTGTTCGACCAGGCTGGCACGCCGCCATCCTAGCTGAGGACTACGCATCTGCCATCCCGTCTCCTCCTTCACGGCACCTTTCCATCCTGCAACGATTTCTCGCGCTTTTCTCGCTTGTGCTTCCTTTTTCTGCACCAACGCCAAAGCAACTTGAACCGCTGGTATCCTCTTCTGTACGACGGACATGGGGTACAGTTCTACAGCTTTCTCCATCTTTATGTATACTAAACCAGTTTTACCAATTAGGGAGCATATACACTTCCCTTCGCCTGACTTCCCCGCCAACACCCATACAGTCGGCACCACTCCTTCCTGCCACTCACCCCCTAACCACCTTCTTCTATGTATACCGACCATCCACCACCTACCTCCGAAAATCACCCCCTCCTCCGGAATGGCACCTGGCCATCCTCTCGTACGTCCCTTTACTCTTATCTCTCAAAAAGGGTCAATGTTTTCGTTGAATATAGGGCACGAAGAACCCGCCTCCCGACGCCGGACGAATTTGCTCTCCTTCTCTCTCAAGTCCCTTCCTCCCCCGCTCCTTCAATATTTGGCGTTTTTGCAAGACCATGGCTAACATGGTTTGTACACTCTGTATTAGGCTACGTCCTCCCACCGAGGTGGAACAATGTAATCCGAGTGTTGAAGACGGGAAGGCGGAATGTCCTGCTCGCTGTCGTCGATTCGGGGGTAATAACCTGGTTGAGGTTCTGGGAGATCGATGGTGGAGGATGGGAGATTATCGAAGGCGATGTATAAGTTGAGGTGAGATTGATAGGTTGGTGATACAGGTGCATTGCATTCTACATTGTCTGTTCTTGGACTACTGAGCACCAATCTCGATTTCCTCACCCCGAATGATGAATGAAGGATCGTGCATGGTGTAAATTCTTTTCACGGGTTCCAGGAGGTGATCTAACAAGTATCTTCCATTCGGAATGTCACTCGTATCAGCTGTCCCAAGCATCAGATGACACTGCTTATGAATAAAACAGAAAAAAAACCTCTGATCGTTGCCTCCTCCAAGGAGGGTGCGACTCCAGTTCTACCTTTCTATCTCAGATCACGTCAAGGAGGAGATACTAAACGCGCGCCTAACATGTCTCGCGATTAACCGCTCTCTGATGCCTTCCTCTCCTTCTCCCCCTTTTGAGATCGGAGTGGGAAGTACAACCCATCTTTCGTCACACAGGCTTGCTGCTTCTGCCCATTCTTTGATCCCCTCTCCCTCTCCACCCATCGTAGTCCACAGCCCTATGCAACGGCGTCAGTATGCAACAGAGTGAGTTGATATTGGTGCACCTTCAAGGATTACGAGTTTGTGCTCGGGAAGAGGCTTGATGGCGATGGCATCTTCGACAGGGTCCTTGAGAGAATGAGAGAAGCTAGGCGCACTGCTGGTCGTATCGGATCGCAGGGATGTCACAAATCGCAGGTATGAGGGACCGTTGAATGTGAAGAGGGCTCCACGGCGACGGTGGGCTTCAGAAGGATCAGGAAAGACATCCAGTTCTGCTCGTCTGCCCACAGATCATGGTTACAAAGGCTCGAAAATATCAGCAGATCTAGAGAAGGATAACGAACGTGTGGTGCCTGTCTTTAGGTCCCTTTAGACGTCCTGCGCGATGAAAAACTGTGATCAGGACGCACCATCCGTCAACTCCAACAACGACGCAGAGCTCTCCTTCATTCCCCGCAGACCTCCATTTCGCGTTCAGGTTCTCAGCGAGAAAAGACGTCAACACTGTCTTGCCAGCTGTAGAAAGAGTGATCAGAAATTGCTGCAACACAACAAAATCCAAAGACATACCGCCTGGGGTTCCTGAGATTGCGAGGAGGTAACGCTTTTGGGCGGAGCAGGACATGAGAGAACATTCTAGATCATCCATCAGGGAAGAAAGCAGAACATCCATATTGATTTGATGATAACTTCCTCACAAGCTGACAGATGTTCTGCTCATGCGAAAAAAACAGAGATGGAATCAAGCAAAATGGACAAAGGGGGGATCGAACCCCCGGCCTTTCGCAAGCTTGCAACTCAAATGCAAAGCGAACGTTATACCACTAAACTATTTGCCCAGTTATGTTGTACAATCCCAACAAGTGTTATAACACTTCAATTACAAATGCCTTTTTTTCTTTACCAGTTTACACTTGCAACAATACCACAACATTATGATTGCTTATGCATCGAAAGTGCAACGGATATCTACTGGCATTCTTTCTTCTTTCCGCCAGCAGCCAACCACGCCTTGAAATCCTCGACAATGTCCCTGTCCAATTTCTCGTACTTTTTGATCCTTCCAATATCCTTCTGATCCAAGTCAATAACCCTTACTTCCGGGACGATGTCCTTAATCAACCCTCCCTTGGGCTTTTCTAGCCTCACGAAAAGGGAACAGTCCTTGAACGTAGCACTGAGAATATATGCAAGTGTCAATTCTCTCAAAGTGACTTGTCCATCTTCCACGCGCTCGACCCATTGAGGATCTGTGAAATTGTGCACAAACGTTTTCCACTCCTCGAGCGTAGGACTAGGAATCGAGCTGGCGGAGAGAGGAGTGTTCGTACGGGAGAGGTAGAAGGAGGAGAGCCCCTCGATGTCGATCGAGTCGAGGGTTCGCTGCAAGAACTTGAGGCGCCGCAGGACATGTGAGTCCATCAAAGCTTTCGACAGGTGCAAACAAAAAGCGTCGCGGATGTTGTCGTTTGTCGGCTCGGAGAGCTCGAAGAAGGAGATGGCATTTTCGTCCGTGAAAACCTACTTTTGGTTAGAATAAGGCTTGATGAAGAGATCGACCTCACGGTGTTGGGTTCAAGTCTCCTTCCGTTTAAGAAAAGGCGTAAATTATTGTGCTTTCCGTCCGATGTGATCCAGTCGTCCCAAAGCCCCTGAGCAGCCTTCTTCACTCGCTCTTCCTCCTTCGAGTAGAGATCGAGAGGGCAGAAGAGGCGCTCACTAGTATCATCTTCCTCTCCTTCTTTCTTCTTCGATTTGTGGACAAGGTGCATGCAGAAACGGCAGTACTTCCCCTTCACATCTTTAGAATCTTCTGAGAGATGAGTTAGAGCGGGTAAGAACCCCCATTTAGGCTATGTCAGCACTCAGTTCCGCTTTCCAAAGGTTGAAGGAGAAGTCATACCTTGATCTCGACAGCCAAGGCATCCTCATCCCAAGCATTCCCAACCAAATTTTCAACCAAAAATACCTCCAATGGGTCCACCACCTCCTCCTCCTTCCCTTCTTTCCTAAATCCAGGCCGCACAGCCTCGATATGATCATAAATTTCCTGCACGAATGTGGATGATATAGTGACCTTGTCCATGGTTGGAAGAAACTCCGGGCCAAGCAAAGGAGAGATAACGAGTTGCGTAAATTGATAATTGGTGTCTGTGGAATGAGCGGTGGACGTGAATTTCGGGAGACGGAGGGCTTTATGTCGATATTGAGGAAGAGAGCCAACGTATGCTACAACTATATTTGCTCCGCCTTCTGCAATGTAGTCCCAATCGCTAGGATTTGTATCCTCAATAGATCGTAATCCTTCTGCAAGCGGAAGAGTGAGGGGCTCTGTGACATTGTCCATCCTATTTGCTGGGTCTTCTGTCCTACTCCAGATGTTTGTCAGTACTAAGGATCCGTTTGCTACAAGGGAGGTAATTCACCCCTGAATATTCGGAATTCTTGGACTGCTTTGCTTGACTATCAATCGTGTTAATTATTCAAGCAATCCGCAACAGATAGCTACAGGAACGATATGTTCCAAAAATAGGATAGCGGAATCAAACCTTATCAACATTGACATTCTTTCTTATGTCTTCACAACTCTCAAAACTCAAAAACTTGCACCCAATGCCGTCGTATCCGACAATTAAAATTATATTGAACCTTGAAAAGAGTCATGAGCACTTAATAAATGTCTTCACTTCTCATTTTCTCCTATTTCGTCAAACAACCTGCTTCAATAGTCCGTTCTCAACCTTGAGATACTTTCAGCCTGCTACTGGTTTCAAGCCCAAATAATGAACAACGTACATGATAAACAAACCCGACGACTTCCGTCTCTGGATCGATGAGCGGATGCGTTTTGAGAAACTCTTTGTCTTCCCTCAAACTCTCGTCCATATCTTTGAATGGCATCATGTCCAACTTATCCAGAGGCTTTTCAGACTCTGGTCCGAGCTTTTGAGCAATTTCGCGTTTCGTTTGGGGCTCTTCAAACGTGACCTAGGCCTCAGAGGTCAGAACTGAACCAATGGAAGATGGAGCTGGTGAACCATCCCACAACCTTTTGAACCGTCTCAGCAGGGCAAACACTAGATATACAGAAAGATACGAACCAGAATGTCGAAAAATGGCAATTTTCCGGGTCCCTGGAGAAAAACGTGAGTCATCTTATTGACAGTGAGGTGACGCCTGTCCAACCTAAAAGTTGTTGAGAAATCAGTATGGACCGTATAGCATCTTTAGCGAGTCCTCCAGCGTTTCGTATAATGTGAGCTTCTCCTTCAACTAATCCGAGACCTGTTTGTGTGCCTATCAAATGTAAGCTGTTGGTGCGCGATGAAGACTCACTGGTGAGAGGATCAATTCGGCTATCCATGCCTTCATAACGACCATGTCAGGTAGGCTTCAGATCTAAACATACAAACAATCGAAGAGCCTACATGTGACCACAATAAGCTGCTTCGATGGTTTGGCACTATCCAACTTCCCCAATGCTTTATTCCTGAACTCGTTCTCTGCATACTTCTTGTTTGCCTGAACGATATTCTGCGCAACTGTACTTATAGCTGCCATGTTGCACCGTGTTTGCCGGGCCCTATTCTGAGAGTGCAATAAGATAGAGATAGTGGAAGAACGACGTGGCATTGGAGTCGCCGACAGGGACTAGAACTCTCGTCACAAAAGGCTTGGCTGAGCTGGTGAATTGAACGTGGATGTCAGAAATGATAAGTACGCGAATATCCGTCGTTGCTGGATTCGATGCGTAGTAGCTGAAAGATTCGCAGAGAATGATTGTTCGAGCTGGTTGAAAAATAAAGAAGAAGCCCAACGAATAGGTACAGATTAGGTTTCCAGTTCGGCTCATTAGTACCATATTTCAAATAAATTTCGAAAACAAGCAAGCAGCGAGGCTGGGAGTCTTTGGGGAAAGTTTTGCACCTGTCCGTTCAAAGAAAAGTGTATGCTACTGCTATGGCAGGTCATGAAAGACCACAAGCTACGCGACGATTTAAAACATTATCGGTCGCAGCTCTTCTCTCCCTCGCCACGCTTTGGAGCTTCAATCCTTCCACCATTTCTTCAAACCCAGCCGTTTCCCAAGTGATCCTAGCGAAATGTGCGGCCACTAAATCTCGACCTGGTGCTCCTGCAGGATGGACGGAAAAGAGGAAGATTAGTAACAGATTTGTCCCTGGAACGAAGGATTGGGTGATCCAAAATGCCGTTATTTGGACTGGGACGAAGGATGATGATGGGAAATGGATAAAGGCAAATTCTTTTACTCCAGGATACATGGTATCACTGAAGCGAGTGTAGATTGACAATGGAACGATAACGATGAGTCAAGGGATTGTAACTGGCGTTTATGACGCCTCGACTATTCGGTCGAATGTTCTGGTCGACGACGAGCTGGTATTCGATGCAAGAGGACGTTTTGTCACACCTGGTCTATTTGGTATGTTATTCAAACTTCGGTTCTCTCATTTTGTGATCTGTGCAACAGACCTTCATTCTCACTTGGGAGTCTACGCTATGCCATCCTTACAAGGAGCATCAGATGGAAACAGTATACAGGTGTGCTTCTCTTGCCTTTATCTTATTCGCGCAAAGCTAAGCTCACTTCCCACATAACAGAACCCAATCTTGCCGTACCTTCGCAGCCTTGATGGTTTCAACACGCACGACATGGGCTTTAGACGAACGGTTGCTGGCGGTGTCACGACCGTCATTGTTCTTCCTGGGTGTGTAATCCCTCATTTTGTCGATCAACCATAGATCGCAAATTGATGCTCAGGTTAGGTCTGCGAATAATATTGGTGGACAAGCGTTTCCGTTCAAGTTGAGGCCCACAGCCGAGAAGACCCCCACGTCAATGCTGGTGGAGCAACCATGGACCATTCCAAACTCGTCAACAACGGATTTCGAGCCGTGGCGTTGTGCGTTTCCTTCTTCACTCTCCCTTTGGTCTACTCGATTCTCTGACTCAGCTTGTCCTTGTAGATATGAAGTTTGCCTGCGGCGAGAACATTATGAATGTATATGGTATCACCAGGATGGACGAGAGCTGGAATTTTCGGAGAACCTTTTCAAAGGGGCTTGAAATCAAGAATGCGCAGGATGAGTTTTGCTCTCGCGCCGAAGCGGGGCTGCTGAAAGGTGAAGAGAACTTCCCGGAGGAGTTGCAGTGGGAGGCCATTGTGGATATCCTTCGAGGGAAGGTGAAGGTCCAGAATCATTGTTATGAGACAGTGGACTTTGACCAAATGATACGGTGAGCATTTGCTTTCAATCCTGACTGTTGCAGAGGAGGAAGTCACTGACTCCCCGCAACGATCAAAGGCACTCGAACGAGTTTGGTTTTCCCATTTCGGCCTTCCACCATGCCGGGCAAGCACACTTGGTACCTGATCGCCTAAAGCAGACTTACGGCGGAACGCCTGCTATCGCTCTCTTTGCGACTCACGCAAGGAGGAAAAGGGAAGCGTACAGAAATTCGGAGTTTGCTCCAAAGATCTTGGCCGAAAATGGGGTTCCTGTGAGTGTAGTTGTTGAGGTCCCATTTGGTCTTTAAGCATGACCTGTAGGTGGTCATGAAATCGGACCATCCCGTTTTAGACTCAAGGCATCTGCTCTTTGAAGCTGCTCAGGTCTGCATTTTGCTGTTTTCCCAGCGTTCAAGCTGCTGATTCGTGGCGAAGGCACATCACTTTGGGTTCGAAGAGAACCTTGCGCTCGCCAGTGTTACTCGAACCCCTGCTGACACCGCAGGGATGGGGCATCGCCTTGGGAGGCTGGCCAAAGGGTTTGATGCTGGTGTGTTGCTACTACACTGCTTTCCTCAGAAAACTCA